GAGCGTGGGCGTTTGGATTTGTGTCACAACCAGGTGGCAGAATCCACTGGGGCACCTTTCAGTCTTTCCCCAAGGCTGCCCGCTGAGAAGGAATTACGAATTCTAGCAGCTGAAATCTAAGGTGTTATAAGCTCTCCCTGTAAACTTATTGGGCACCCGTCAGCCTCCTCCAGGTTGCCTGCTGCAAGGGACCCCGGTCTCAGCAGTTAAAGTCTCGGGTGTATAGCACATACACACTGCCCTGACCGTCAGCTGACATTCATTCCCCTGGATGTGCCATGCCAGCCAGCCAAAGACCAAGACCTGCTAATTTCCTATTGTTTTAAAGGTTCCCACTTCTGCATGGGAAGTTACCTGGCCAGTCCCTACTAGTTAGGAGTGTTGTGATGTCCAACATAAATCTCCCTTGCTGCAATTTGAGCCCATTACTTCTTGTCCCATCATCAGAGGCCAAGGAGAGCAATTTTTTTTCTCTCCTCCTTTTAGATGCTTGAAAATCACTATCATGTCCCCCTCAGTCTTCTCTTTTCCAAATTAAGCCCAGTTTCTTTCAGTCTTCTCTCATAGGTCATGTTTTCTAGACCTTGAATAATTTTTGTTTCTCTTTTCTGAATCTTTTCCAGTTTCTACACATCTTTCTTGAAATGTGGTGCCCAGAACTGGTCACACTACTCCCATAGAGGCCTAATCAGTGCAGAGTAGAGTGGAAGAATAACTTATTGTGTCTTGCTCACAACATTCCTCTTAATGCATCACAGAATCATGGGTTGGTTTTTTTTTGTTTTGTTTTTGTTTGTTTGGGGTGTTTTGTAACAGCGTCACACTGTTGACTCATGTTTAGCTTGTGGTCCACTATGACCCTTAGATCCTTTTCTGCAGTACTCCTTCCTAGATCATCACTTCCCAGACTGTATGGGTGAAACTGATTGATTGTTCCTTCCTAAGTGGAGTACTTTGCATTTGTCCTTGTTACACTTCATCCTGTTTACCTCAGACCATTTCTCTAGTTTCTCCAGAACATTTTGAATTTTGACTCTATCCTCCAACCCCTCCTAACTTGGTATCATCTGCAAAATCAATAAGCATACTATCTACAGTACACCAGTATCTAAATCATTGATGAAAATACTGAACAGCACCAGTCCCAAAACAGACCCCTGTGGAACCCCACTTGTTATGCCTGTCCCCATGATTGTGAACCGTTAATAACTACACTCAGAGAACAGTTATTCAGCCAGTTATACACCCACCTTATAGTAACCCCATCTGTGTTCTGTTTCCCTAGCTTATTGATAAGAAGGTCATGTGAGATACATATCTGAGCTGATCATGTCTTTACTGTGGCTATTCACATAGCACTGATTAAACTTCTGAAGTGTTGTTGCACAATGCGTTCAATCCATGGGAAATCCAAGCAGAATTTTTTGGGGGCCAGTCTCTTCCTTGGTTGGTCAAAATATCTTGCCATGGATCTGAAGAGTATATTCCCAGGTCATTACAATGATTTATCTTAATTGTTCCTTCAGAAAATATTCAAATATTTTGGTATTTTTAATGTGAGCCTTAAATTCAAGACCTTAGGAATTCACATCTGCCATCTCTTACCTTCTTTTAATGTACTAAAATCTACTGATGTAAAGTACTATATGACAAGTAGGTGGTATTATTACTATCTCCAATGTTGGTGGCTCATTTGAGTTGGGATTTTTATCCTTACAATGCCATATTTTTGTGCTTTTTCATGAAAGTTCCTAACATTGAGCCTTTACCTTTTTCCACCCTACCAAAGTTTACCTACTGTGAGTTACATGGGCCTCATTTTGAATCCCTGGTATAGTATGGGACCTCTGAGCCTCTTCTCATGAAAGTAACATGCCATTTTGTTGACTTGTGTGACGGGCTGTGCATATCCCGCACTGAATCAGGTGGAGTTAAAACACTATGGGCAGAGGAAGTCTCGGCCCTTCACACAGACCTGAAATGCTCCAAATGCTGGCACAGCATAAAAGGTAGTAGCACAGCTCAGTCTGAGAAGGACCTCCAGCAGAGCCATGCTAATCAGAGACCCAGACGGTGAAACCCAGAGACCCAGGTGACTGCCTCTAGCTACCAGCGCCAGAAGATTCCCAGGGAGGATGGCTGCCGGGGAAATGGAGGATCCAGAGACCAATGGAATAGAATGGAATGGATCTGCACAAGTGCTTGTAGGAAGTGACCCAGAGAGGGTGTCGGAGTGGTATCTCTCACCCAGGCAAGCTCAGCGTGTTTCAGTCGAAGTCCCTGCTGAGCAAGTGGTAGAACACTCTGTCACTCTCAGGGCTCTGGGTTGGGACCTGGTGGAGTGTGGTAGACCTGGGTCCCTCTACTGGGGTGGCTGCAGTCCCACCACTTAGGCAAAGTCAGTGACTTAAAGGGTTACCCCATATTGACTTTGGTCGTTCGGCTGTGCTGCCCTGTACCAAGAGCTACTCCTTATTGACTCTGGCTATTAAGCTGTACTCCCCTGACCTAAAAGCTACCCTATTAACTTTAGCTACGGTGCTGTACTACCCTATACTGAGGATGGATTTCCACAGACAAAGAGAAATTGCTGATGATTTGGCAGCTGACCAAGCAGTGTTCACACCCCTAAGTATCCTCCCTCCAAGGGACCCCATGTGCATACACCGTAACAGCTAGCTATGCCAAGATTGAACTCTAATTAATTATTGATTTATCTAATGTTTAAGTTTAGCTTGCATTACATTTACCTCTGTAACTTCTGTTAAAAACTAGTAATTTCATGTTAATCAAAAGTCTGCTTGTCATCTTTATCTGTCAGTGTTTCTACTCCAGAAGAGGTTTTACATAATATTTAAATTACACTCAAATATATTGAAAGCTTAAAATGTTATTTCTAGGATCCTAAAAGGATTGTGAGCCATCAAGAGCACTTTCTTCTATTGGATCAAGGGCTATATTTGTAAGGCATACTAGCAAGCAGGAAAACCTATAGATTACTATGGCCAGTAAGAGACATGAGCCCCCTTCTAGGAAGATAGGACTGAGATGATATTATCAAGCATATAGCACTTGTTCCAGTATTCACTCCTTCATCAAATATCGTCTGATGGAGCCATCCCTCTGTTTACCCCACCCTCTCTAAATGGCTCTTAACCAAAAGAGTTCAAACTAGGCTCGTCAAGTAAACCCATTTCACTACAACAGTTTATTGTTTTTTAAATATTTTTATTGTGGGAGAAGAAGGCATTTGAGAAAGGAAAAACTACTTAGTAGTAACTTTCTATCTATTCTTCAATCAAGTCTTCCTCCCTTTTTCTTACAGTTGCTTAAATTTGAATTTTTTTTTACTTGATTTTAGACTGAGATATAGGGGCTGGATTGTTATATCTCCTTATAAATATTTCTGAAAGTTTGTTTGTTTGTTTGTTTGTCCTGAAAGATCTCCGAAACGGTAAGAGCTAGAAACACAAAATTTTGAACAGACATTACTGATTTTCTAACTTAAATAACTGGATTGGTTATATCTCAAAATCGGTTTCCCCAGTTCTTCCAGAGCCTCAATTGGACCCACTGATAATTAGCTTTTAGTAGCGCCTGATCATAGGCATTTGCTGGACTCTTCTGTTAAGCGTGTCACATAAACTGCAACTATGAGATCCTTTCTTTCTGGCTACGAATTAAGTTATGTTAATTTTTTAAAGTAATATATAAGAGAAAAGTATTTCCAGTACAATATGCTATGTTAATGTAATTGACGTAGTTCATTTATCATGCTTTTTACTATATTTTCCCCAGGCGATGCCTGGTATTTCTGCTAGTATAAAATATTTGCAGACCATTCTTTACTACTTGCCTCCAGTAGGTGAGCAAATATGCTTGCTGTTATGGACTCTCCCATTGTGGGATGAGAGAATAGGAAGGACGTCAACAAATTGAATTAGACATGTTATTCTCCCTTTTCTGACATTACTCCATAATTAATAAGTTTCTTGTGAACTTCAAAGGAATTGCCCCAAATCTATTGAAGAGCTGCTATAGATAGAGTTCTCATAACTGCATTGTCAAAGTTTGAATTTTGTTTGGTTTTTTTCAGAATTATTAACTGAGTCATCATCTAGAAAAACGTATTGTGATCTACAAAATGGGAGTACATTTCAATAGCCAGCTTATTAAAAGGAAAATTTTAAATAGTAATTTTAAAATGTTTCTGTAAACTTCTACGGTATTGATGTGACAAATCTAAATAAAAGCTCAGACTGTTGCACTGTGCATCTAAAATACATGTTATAGATGTATATCTCTACTTGTTTGCAAAAAAACCTCAAACTTGAGAACATATTTGTAACTCTATTTCTCTTAAATATAGTTTAACCATAAATTGTTTTCCTACCTATTTCATCTTCTAATTTTTACAATGTAAAGAAAAATATTATCTGCATACTGATTAGATATTATTCCATGTAAAACAATCAAATACAATTTGAGCATTATATAGAAAACTCATTTCCATAAGTGGAAGTGAAAACATCTGGAAGAATTGTCCAATTGCTCCATATATTTTCTTTGGGTCTTTTGGTATGTCAAAATGGTGAAGATTTTTGGCCTCCCCTCCTCTACTAAATTCATGATGTACCTTCTCCAAAGCCTATTGAACTCACTTGGAGCATTTCTGTCAGTTTTAATGTGCTTTGGATCAGGCCCCAAGAACTTTTGGCTAATTTATTTTGAATTTATATTCATGAATTGAAAACCATACTTTGCAGCTTCTTTCCGCAACGCATTAGCTTGTCCTTTCTCCCCCTTTCTTCCTTTCCAGGTCTGTTTTTCCCCAAGCCATTTTTTTAATCCATCCACTTAGGGCTGTTTTGAAAGGTGTGCAATTCATATTCATCTTTCAAATGCAGATAATGACTTTATTTTTTCTCTGTCTTTTTTAGATGGGGCTGGGGAAGACAATCCAAGCAATTGCCATTTCTTATTACTATAAAGAGGAATGGCCTCTCTTAATAGTAGTCCCTTCATCTCTTCGGTACCCTTGGATTGATGAGTTGGAGAAATGGATTCCAGAACTCTGTCCAGGTGATATCAGCATCATTCAGAACAAAACTGACACTGGGTGAGTAAAGTTTCTTATTCTTTCCCAAAAAAAGTCTGTTGTGATTTGTTCAGAGAATGCCTGTAATAGTACATGCAATTCACATAATCTGGCATCTAGGAAAGCACATGTAGTCTTGTGCACAAGACTGGGAATTAGACAAAATGGGTTTATTTCAGGCTCTACCAAATTCTTATGTGATCTAAAGAAAGAAAATTAACTTAACATCAGTTTCCCCGTTACAGTCAAGCTATCTTGCTTTCTTATCTGTTGATGCAATTATAAAATGTCTTTCTTGGGCAAGGAAGGTTGCTCTTTCTGATGTCTGGAAAATGCCAACAAGTGACTTGATTGCTCATCGAGATCTCTAGTCCAGATGGAACCACTAGCTTCCGGTTGTAATTATTCAAAACATTTGCACCCTTCCTTGCAATGATGAAATATGTCCAACATAAAAAATAAACTAAAATATTTGCAAGTGGCAGAGTATTACCATTGGATTTTACAAGTCAGTTAGCACTAACAGTCAAGTGAGATCAGCAAGAAACTGGTGTCAAAAGCTGTGCTTTCACTCTTAAGTTTAGCTATTTCACTTGCGAAGGCATTGGAGCACTTGGTGCTTCATTGCAATGCTTTGATGATGATTGGTATTTATCAGAATTCAGAATGTGGCAGGTCAGACCTGGTGTCTGGAGTGGTAGCAATCTGACCTAGTGGGCATTGTGGTGTCAGCCAGGTCAGGACTCGGAACCAAAGGTTGGAACCAGAGTCAAAATTCAAGAGGAGGTTAGAACAAATCAAGAACAGAACTGGGAACAAGGCTGGAGTTGGAATGGGGATAGGAATAGAGCTGGAGCAGTCAGAGGATTGTATAGTCTGTCACTGCTATCAGGCAGGGAGAGTACCAAGCCATGAAGTGATATGAGGCAGACTGAGCTGCTATTTCTACTGAGAGACTCTTATACATGCCCTAAGTGTCTCTAGACCCACTGCTGGGTTGTGGATTGGGTGTAGGGATGACTCGCAACATCAATCCTGAGGGTGAGGTGTGAACCTGCATTAAGTCGAAGATACCATGTTCTACACAAACCATGCCTCATCTAAATCCCAACTCTTGACTAAAAATAGGTCAAACCCAGCTTTTGTACCAAAGTCACATCTGAAAGTTCAGGGTGCTGTTGACCAATGACCTGAATTTGGAGAGTTTATAATTTTGAGTAAAATATAATCTATTGGTTAAATATGCTTATAGAAATAATAGACATTTCTGAATCTGTGACAGCAAATAGAAGGACCAAAATGTATTTATTAAAAATAGTCTTTGTGATCGGTTTTAATAGTTAACTGTTAAGAGCTTAGAGTGAGGTGTAATGGAAGTTAGCTTGTACATGACCAAAGATTATGATATGATAGATATATGTGCTCCACTGAAGGTTGTGTAACTTAGTAATATGTATCTTGTAATAGTTTAGTAATGTATCTTGTGATAGCCAGATAAGCCACACACAAAGAAATGGTAACAGCTGGTATATTAGTTTACGAGGAGTTAATATAACCCAGTTGCTATCTAAGATTTAACAGCGACAAAAAAATTTTGGGGTTTGGTTTATAGAGAATTCAGCTTTAATTTAATTTAAAATCAAACCAAATATATTAAAAATTTTCTTACCCTTTTATTAAAGATTTAAAAAGAAAAACAATCAACCATTTGAAATGTAAAGCATTAACTATTGCTTTCATTTTCACAACGTTCCTTGTTCCTTTTCCATTTATCCAGAGAGAGTTTTTAGAGGGAAAATCTCCCTTGTTTGACAGTCTCTTCAGTGGTATTAAAGATGGTACTAATTGGCCTTTGGGGGTAAAAGAGAAGTCAGCTGAGCGGCTGAAGTTGCTTTTGTCACTGTTAAAATCCAATACTGTTTCATCCTAGGTGGTGTTTGGGATTCAGTTGGAGTTGGTAGAGGTTGTGGTATCATGTGGGTCCTTTTCTCTGGTCTGGTCTGGATGACAATCTCAGGATGAAAAGGGACAGGGGATCCCAGAAGAAGGTGGGGTGTGGTAGGCATGATGGTTAAGTTCACTCCAACAGCCTGTTTTCCAAAATCTCTTTCTTTAAGGACCCACAAAAGGAGTGGTAGACAGAATAACCCCCATTATTTTGTCCACTAATCAGGCCTAATTTCTGAAGCTCCAATTTTGGTTAATTCAGTTCTGGCTCCATGCTTTTCTTGTTTACAAAGCATGATCTTAACACAATCCTTGAGATACATTAGGTCTTTTTACTTAGATGACATTGATCTTTTTGTTTGTATAACTCTGAGAATCTGTGGATATCGTCAGCTAATTTTTGAGAATATGGATGTGGATACAAATTTTATATCTAGAACTTGGAAATTTTGAAGCTATTTGCTTTTTATCAAGGGGTAACTGCATCTGTGGATATTAATCTGCAGCTCATTTTTGCGGCTACAGCTGTGGATTCAGATACAAATTTTGTATCCACACAGGACTCTGTTTGGACTCTTGCAGTCTTTTTGTCTCTCTTTTTACCTTATCGCCTCATTTGTGACATAACTCATTGTGGCATCTTGTGAACTTTCACTTTTCACATTTAAGCTCATAATTAGGGTAAATCTGAAGGTCACATTTAAGTTCATAATTAGGGTAACTCTGAAAGCCACGTTATCACAACACATGTTAGAGACTATTGGAAACTAGGGCTAAACACACTGACATACTAACATTAAGAAATGGACTGATGCAAATGATTATCGGAAATATAATTATGACAAATCAGAATACCTCATGTTCAATCATAACCCTAAAATGGTCTCCTGGAATACAAGAGATGAATAGGGAAGCTGAGACATGATCAAATTTCCTAATGTATGTGGGTGGAATGAAAAAGGTGTGAAAAAGATTGTGAAATTGATGTCTAGTTGGGAAATAGGAAATGACAGTGTAGGCGACTTCCAAAACTGTTATCCCTTTTGGAGTGCTCTACTAACTGTTTCTTCTGTCTTTGTTTCTAAGGATCTCCATCAAATTGCAAGTGTGAACAGTACAGGAAACCACTTTACTATATTTTTCTTACATGTATTAATTTTTTGTGATATCACTTACGTTTGTCCATATTAACTCACCGTCATAAAATTTCTGTGTGTGCTTCACCAGCCTTAATTCACTTTAAGTAGATGTCTGAATGTGTAGCACATCTTGCCAGTCAAATAGTTGTCTTACATAAAAAACACGCTTGATGCTACTGAATTCATCAACTGTACATTGGGAGCTTGTGATTCAGTCATTGGCAACTTTGATGTATTGTTATGCATCAGTGTTTAATGTTATGTGTAATATATCCTTCTTCTCTAGGGGTGTGTCTAGACTACATGCCTCCTTCGACGGAGGCATGTAGATTAGCCAGATCG